AGGAGGCTGGCAGGTGGGGAGGAAATTTGATGCATCTCTAAGAGAAGACTTAATAAGTTGATTAACATACTTTTTGCAAAGAGTTAACTCCAGGAAATGGAAGTACAAATGTTCCTTCCAGAACTGTCCAATACGTTTAGAATAACAGAGTGTTGTTGGAAAGATTGCCCCTTTTGTGGTGATTTACCAATAAAAATATAGTATGCTTAATCTTCTCATTACAATTTTATAATCATTGAAATATTTTAAATTGCCCTCAGTTTTATACATTTGCATTATTTTTAGTAGGTGTCAGTTTTTTAGTAGTTTTTAGTAAGAGGGAATTCCTGAACTTCCATAACTAAGGTCCGAACTCTTACTCAAAGTGTTTACCCCATAATACCATTGTATGAGGCCTCTAGGTAGAAGCTAGCTATCCTTGGATGAGGAAACAGCCTTATGATAGACCTTTTCTTGTTAACTGCTTTGGAAAACCATATTTGTATATTTTTTTGATTTTGTACATATTTGTCTTATTTCCCTTTCCAGAACAGCATTCATTACATTTCTTGCATAGAATTTCAAAGTGCAGTGTGACCTGGTGCTGGGACAGAAGGCTGGGAAATTAATTATCAGGCACAGATGCCACATTGAAGGGCCTTTGCCAATTATCAACTTGGTAGCCATGATTCACCCCTCAGTGACCATCTGAAAGCTGATTCTTGCAGGATTTCATCCATATTTGAGGGAATCTGCCCCCCACGCAGACACACACACACACACACACAACTTTTTTGGACTAATTTAGAAGCCTTTGAGTTTGGACGAATGTTCTCATTTCCTTTTTTTGTTGATCTTGGCCCCTTAAATATCCACCCACCTTATTACTCATTTCTTGGGGACTTGGCTTCTCAAAAACACAAGAGAAAATATATCTGCAGCCATATGGGTTGAATAAAACAAACTTTAGAGAAAGAAATGTGTGTTCTCTGAACTTCCTTTGTTTATATGATCTGTTTATATGTTGTTAAGATTGTGTTGCCCAGCTGCCTCCCAACATTTCAGAAATGACTAAAGTTAATCTGGAAACCTCTCTTTGAGGGTCATGTTGCCATAGTAAATGAAAAAACACTTCCTTTGTCTCCTATTAGATAACCCCACTTTTTTTGAAGAGTGGGAGGGATGCCAAGAGCTCCATATGCTAGATTTTTGACATTTTTGAAACGTCCTTAACTTCTAGAAAGACGATTACAAGGAAGCCAATCAAATATATTTTGGAATATACAACTGACTGTTTGAATGTTTGTTTGCTCATGGTTCACATTAGGCCATATCCTATTGTCTTAGGCTGGGTTCTCTAGAATAGCAAAACCAGTGAAGCACGTATGTATACATGTACAAGGACAATTTAAAAAATCATGAAAAACGAAGTGAAAATATAATGGAAATTTTCCACAAACCTTTGAAGCACCCTTGTATATAGAGGGATTCCTTTCAAGGAAATGGTTCTTGCAGTTGTAGAGGATAGCAGATCCCAACTGTGTGGGACAGGCTGTAGACTGAACCCCCAGGAAAACACCCCCTGCCCAGTTCACAAATGGAGGGAAATTACATAATTACTGAGATTACAAATTACTGAGAATCACAGCCTAGTCAAGTTGATCCTTATCATTGATCACTACAGTCCACCCTTTGTCAATTTGACACTTGTACAGATCTCTAGCCATAATCTCTAAATAGAAGTATCAAGTCATATTTGCATCTGACTTAATAAAACTAACACATAAAAGCCAAATATGTAATAGCCTCATGTACATCTTATATTTTATAAGTAGTAGGATAAGGGATGGAAAGAATTGTATATAAGAGGGAGCTTTAAAATTTCATGAAAAAAATTAAATTGAAAGATAATAGAATTTTAATGAATTTCTCTCATGTGCATGCATGCATGAATAACAAAACAAAAATATTCATAACAATGGCAGTCCTCATACCTACAGATGATGGCATTGTGTTGGAAAGGAGTGACAGTCAAGGCCCCTGTGGATTAAATTACACAGTAGGGCTTCAGTGTTGATAAATTTCTGAGGTAACCCAGCGGAGGTGTATTGTTGGTCTTGAAGGCAATGCACTTCTGGTGCCCTTCAAAACAAGTGTGGAAGAAAGGCTGTAGCCATATCAGTAGCTGTATACCAGGGCCAGGAGATATATTCATTTACTCATGCAGTGAAGCATTAGAAACAGCAACTGCAATTAGATTCTACTTACTAAAGTTTACAAGAACCCACTGTCATTCTCCAAGATCCATGTAGTTTGTGCTTTGGTTAGGTTTGTTCTTGTTTTGTTTTTTGCACAAACCAAGTAATAATAAGTTGGATGGGGATGTGGTAAAAATTGCATTCCAAATTCCACCAAGTTATTGAAATGCCCTCGTATAGAGATTATTTCAAGAAAATGACTCCCACTGATGTGGTGGCTGGAATTCCCTGCTCTAGGTCTGCCATCAGGTTGGAAGCTTCTCCTGGCTCATGTGGTTAACGGGCTGATGAACCCAAAATGAGCAGATAAGTGGAACTTACAGGTGCGCAGGTTGTAGGCGCTGACATGCCAACATTTAAAGATCAGGCAGTAGGCTACTGGCTTATGTACCAAGAACTAGCAGTCAGAGGAACACAAATTGGATGCAGGATTGATGGGCACAAGGCAGAGTGTGTGTGTGTGTGTGTGTGTGTGTGTGTGTGTGTGTGTGTGTGTGTGTTGTCATCATTGTAATTGACCAGTGTGGCACCTTGTGGTAGGGAATGACCATCAAGGTCCCTGCAGATTAAATCACACAAATATTATAAATAAGTATTATGAATATTGACACTAGTGTTAGGTGATGTAGTTGCATAGCATCAAGTCAATGTTAACCTCTTATCAACCCCATGTAACAGCAGAACTGCCCCACGAGGTTTTCTAGACTGCCGTCTTTATGAGAGCAGATTTGCTAGGTCTTTCTCACACCACCAGCTTTTAGGTTGGCACCCAAGCCCTTAACTCTTGCCTCTCGGGTGTTCCTTGAAGTGATATCAGCAGACCTTAAACAGAGGACTCTAGTCTGGTCTGTGAGTTAAAACTTCAGTACATTTCAGCCAAGGTCATTCTAGGATGGACTTTTGCAAACTCCTTATCTTGAAGGAATTGAAGGGTGTTAATCAGCAACTTGCACATTCAGTGAACTCCTTTCTCTAAGTGGAAAGTTTCTGTGTGGGTGTGGGTGTATGTAAAATAGCTCTCCTTTTCTCTCCCTCCCCATCCTTTGCCCATTATAATGGATGATGTGTAAACAGAGATAATTTCTATCACATTAAACTATTTTTCAACTAACAAATTTAGAAGTCAGAATAAGGAAATAAAATCATTGGGAATAAGGAAAGAAAACTATTTTTCCTCCGTTTGGAAGTTAGTTACTCCACTGAGTATTTAGCTGGGGTACCGGTGTCATCTGCATTTCCTTCAGGTTCTGCCCCGGTGGAAAGAATCCTAGCTCTGCATTGCCTCGGTGCATTTCACCAATCTCCGTCGCAGCAGCAGGTCGCAGCAGCAGCGCACTACCTGCTGAGGGATCTCCTAAGTGAATTTTCGTAATCTGCTTCTCAGTTCTCCCGGCTGGCCGAGGCCCTCTTATTTCTTGAGTGGTTTGCAGTTCCATTAAGTGGCTGTTGTTTGGGGTCACTGCTGAATGTTTTATTTGAATATCACTTTCATGATGAATTGCTGCTTTTAGCTAGAGGGGATAAAGTCCTCTGTGGTGAGCTTTAAAAAGGGAGGGGAAAAATCTATTGTAGTTATGTACCAAATAAATTGACTCTCTTGTCCTTTTGTCCTTTCAGTGTGGTAACCCCAAGTTCTTGTGATGTATTTGTTTTGGTTTTGGTTTGGTTTGGTTTTCAGTTAAGCCTAGTAGTGTCCTGTACCCAGGTGCATGCTATTTCTGCAATTGGTCATTATGGTGATAGAGAGCATATTTCTGACCTGGAAGTGTGGTTTCTTTGACTCAAAACCACATCAATATGCCTTCCATTCTCCACTTCCTTTGCATTATTTCCTTTCAGAGGGCTCAGTTTGTCATCATTTAACCTAAGGATGATTCATCTGGGACTGACAGCTGGTAATGCTATAACAATACTTTATATAGTATTATGCAAGTACTTACCATCATATTCTTTCTGTGTGTGAAGCACATTCTGTTTTAATCCTTTACAGTCACTCTAAGTGAACAAGTTTATCTATGTCTAAAAGGATGGGTTGTAGAACAAAGAGGTTAAATAAATCCCTCAGAGTTACAGTGCTTCTGAGTTACTCTGCTTAGCAATATTTACAGGAAATGAGCAACACTTGTGAAGATTATTCTGGATGAATAAGAAGGAATTTTCCAAACTCTGCTCTGGGGGTTAAAACCTAAGTGTTTTTAGTGTGGTCAGTTGATAAAGACCAGGATCAAAAGCTCATTAATTATATATAGTGTTTAAATTGATGAGTCCAAGTCAAGATAATAAATACTTAGGTCAGTTTCTGTTCTGCAGCCAATGTGATAAAGTTAAGGAAGGCTGACTCTTAAATTAGTGGAACTTGAACTGGAAGTAAGTAGGCCATTAATTTTTTTTCTTTCTCTCCTCCTTTCAGAGAGATGGAAAACTTGATGACCAGTTCCACCCTGCCTCCCCTTTTTGCAGATGAAGAGGGCTCCAAGGAGAGTAATGACCTGACCACAGCTGGGTAAGCCCTGCTTGGCACACTGGGCCTCTGCATAGGCATTAGACTAGAACAAGGCATGAGGTGCTAAAGAAGCAGTGTATATCATGAGAATAAAGGAGGCATTTCTTGGGCTTTTTTGCAGAAAGCCAGGTTAAACTCCTTTGTAATCTGCATTCAGCCATCTCTGCCAGCCTCTGGTCCCTGCAAATCTTTCCAGTAGAGATCCTCATCTGTTTCCCAAGGAGCAGTTGGTGGTTTCAAACTGCTGATCCTGCGATTATCAGGCCCAATGCATAGCCTGCTACACCATCTCTGTCCCAGAGGGTTGCTATGAGTCAGGGTTAACTCAGTGGCATTGAGACCCTATAAAAGGAACCTTGCCCATCAGCCACTCTGAGGGAGATAATTTAGAGCACTGGAAGCTATGGGACAGTTTTCTCTGTCCTATATAAGATCAGGATCAACTCAGTGACACAGGTTTGGTGGGTTTTTAGTCCCTGTGCAACTGATACAGCAATTAATGGGATCTAACAAACATCTGGGATTTCCAATTAGAGAATCATGTAGTTTCCACTGAGGAAATGCCTGCCAAAGGGGTCTCTCTGAGAAGCAAATACCATTTTCTGTTTCAATTGCCACAGATTTTAATGTATCTTTCATGTCCCCAACGTCAGTTTTTATTAAAAGATCAGATGATTTTGGTTTTAATTCACTGCCTAGGAGCTTTAACTAACACCTTTTTTATTGTTTTATTTTATTTGGTCTTTACTTATTTCAATGATCTGAAAAATATGTAAAGGACTGCAGAAAAGGGTTAATAGCAATTAGCCCATCTCTTCCCTTGGAAATCTTTGTTTCAGTTGAAGTTTGTTTTCCCCCCTGCATATTTGGAAATTACTTGGCAAAGAATAAATGTATTCTGTAATATGTTGAAATGGTAGCTAATCCCTAAAATGAATTATTTTAATATTCTTTAGAGCGCTCTGAAAAATAGATTATACTTTGTAATTCTGTTTCCTTCCCTCACATTCATTTCTCACTTCATTAATATCTGCCTGGGGACCTCACTACTCAGATGAAACTGTTCTCTGAGCCTTTTCTAAAGGCCACCTCGTTAGTAAATGCAGTTCACTCAGTGAAAAGTTTTTGAATATCCATTATGTGCCAGATACTATTGATGCAGTGATCCAAACAGAAATCTAGGCCCCTTTAAAGCTGAAATTTTATTTAGCAAGTTAGATAATAAAACAGGATAAATGAGTAACATATGAGGTGGTACCCAAAAATACCAGAATCCCACCCCTCAAAGCTATGTATTAAAATTTTTTTACAAAACAACCATATCACCCTAAAAGTACTCTCAATTGTACTTACTACGTTTTTCAAATCTGCGATTCCATTCTTGGAAAAATTTTTCAAACTCGTGTGTTTGTATGGTTGGGAGCACCTCCCTCATTTTTTTCTTCACCTCTTCTATGTCTTCAAATCTCTGTCCTTTCATGTCCGTCTGCATTCACAGAAACAAAAAGAAGTCACATGGAGTTAGGTCAGGTAAGGTGCATGTGGCAAGAGAGGCATGCTTTTTTTGCTAAAAACTGGCGCACTAAGTTGGCTGCGTGAGCAGGTGCATTGTTGCAGTGGCAAAACCAGTCCCCTGCCTGCCACAAATCAGGCCTTTTTTGTCACACACTATTATACAATCTTTTCAGAACCTCTAAATAGAGTGCTTGATTAACAGTCTGACCTGGTGGAATGAACTCCAAATGTACTTTGCCCTTCACATCAAAAAAACAAATGAGCATTGGGTTTTGGGGGGTAACCCTCATACATACAATGTTAGAAAGTAAAAACAACTATTAGATTAATAATGAAAGCAGGGAGAGGATATAGGAAACATTTAAGAATACTGTTTTAGATAGACTGGCAAAAAGGCATCAGTGAGAAAGCGACTTGAATAAAGACCTGAAAGCAAGTACGGCTACTAGTGTTCACTTACCTGGGGTGTGGTGTGGGTGTTATTCTAAGCTGAATATCATTCTAGTATGGAAGCCTTGAGGCTGGAATGTTATTTACTGGAAGTAGCCAGGAGGCTAGTGTGGCTTAAAGCACAGTACATAAGGGGAAGGGGCAATGGAGGGCTACATCAGTGCTTCTCAAACTTTAAGATGCTTATGAAGTGCCTGAAGATCTTACAATAGGATCAAAGATTCTGCATTTCCAACGTGCTTCTCACGGGTGATTCCAGTGCTGCTAGTGTAAGGCCCATGCTTTGAGTCCCAACGAAGAAGATCATATAGGGCCTTTTAGATTGAACAGAGTAAGCACTTTGGCTTTCACTCTGAAAGAGAAATGTGGGAGTCACCAGCATATAGCTCATATTCAAAGCCATGAGATTTAGTGAAATCATTAAAGTAATGAGAACTGTGTAGATAGCAAAGAGAAGAGAGTGGAACACTAAGCTCTGGGATGCTCCGACATTTAGAATGGTAGCTGAAGGGGGAAACCAGCATAAGGACTGAAGAGGATTGACAGGAGTGTCTAAGATGGCAGTGTAGTCTCTGTGTACTGCAAATAGATTAAGCACACAGCTGCTAATAAAAGGTCCACTTTATTCAGAAGTACCTCTAAAGAAAGTGCTGGTAATCTACTTCCCAAAAAACCCCAGCCATTGAAAACCCTGTGGAGCACAGGTCTGCTCTGGCACACAGGTGTCACTGGGAGTCAGAATCAACACAGTGGCAACTGATTGGGGAAATGCTAGCAGCAAAAACAGGAGCGTAGGGTTCTGGAAACCAAGTAAAGAAAGTTTGGTTTTGGGGGGTTTTTTTTGGTCCAGTCTGGTAAACCAGATAAGGTGGAGACTGAGAAAATGACTATTTCACATGGAGATCACTGGTGGCCTGAACAAGAGTTATGAGTGCATCACTTCTTTAGAGTAAGTGTAAGAGAGAATAGCTCTGTTCATTGCAACACTGGGCACAATAGCAAAAAGGTGAAAACAATCTAATTGGCCATTGTGGGATGAACGGATAAGTAAAATATGGTAAAAGCATACAATGGCATACTGCTCAGCAATAAAGAAAAATGGATTATCAAAACACCTTACAACAAAGATGAACTTCGTATATATAGATGTGTATATGGAAGTGGGTGGTGGGTAGGTGGGTTTACCAACCACCTTACGGGATTGGTTTTCTTGTTTGGAAGACTTAAGGCCATAGTCTCATGGGGCAACTTGGTCAATTGGCCTAAGTTTATGTCTGGTGTGTAGTGTTTCGCCATTTTTAAAAGCTTGTAAGCACCCATCTAAGATTCAACTATTGTTTCTACTCATCCAAGCAGAAGAAAAAAAACCAAAGTCTCAAAAATCAAAAGAACTAAATTACAGGACTAATAATCTATATCATAGTTCCCAAATTTATGTGGCTTACCACTGCCTTTTCCAAAAAAAAAAAAAAAATTACTCAGCACCCCCCAACAATTAAAAACATATCCTATAGCCCATAATCCAGAGTAACGTGTAAGCATCTGCTATGCACCCACTCACCCCGGGTAATTCCAGCAGCCCCAGTAGGTGGTGTCACCTTCTTTGGGAAACAATGATCTAGCTACACAAACTGCAGCCCCATCTACCGTGAAACCAGAGGAACTAGGTGGTACCTGGCTACCACTTCAGACAGAACCTCAGATGCTTAAAGTATCCAGACTTACTGGACCAGCTGAGACTGGAGCACTCCCCAAGCCTGATATCCTAAGATAGTCTTTATACCTCGATCTGAAACTAGCTCTTGAAGTTACCTTTTAACTAAATAACAGATTGCCTCATAAAATAAACATGTCATCCACAAGTAGTATGCACCTTTAAAAAGTCATCTGTGTGATGATTTTCAAAAAAAATCAAAAATCACTTTAAAACAAAGATTAAAAAGTAAACGGCCAGGGGATTCGATTACTTGAAACAGAACCAAAGACACCTGAAACTCACTGCCATTAAATCGATTACAATTCATACTGACCCTAAGGGACAGAGTAGAATTGTCCCTCTGGAGTTCTGAAGCTGTGGTTCTTTATGGGAGTAGAAATCTACCTCTTTATCCTTTGGAGCAGCTGGTGGCTTTGAACAGGTGAGCAGCCCTACTCGTAACCACTATGCCACCCGAGTGAGACAGGGACTGCTGAACTAATGACCTTGAGTAGGCCAGAGGGTGTGTTAAGTTCCAGGGCACAAACAGAAGGTGCTGGTGGCTGTAGCTTGGAACATTGCCATAGTAACAAAAGGCATTCCCACCCTGCTCCTTGATCTTCATCCTGCTTGTCATCCTTATGACCTTTGACACATTTGACCTCACTCTTTTGAGTTATTCCTGCTTTGGTCTGGGATTCCGAGGATAAGTGCTGTTTTTCAAACCGACTTCTGTTAAGTATTACTGAAATGAGAGTGAGCAAGAGTGAATAAGTTAACACTCGTTAGCACAAATGAAGTAAGAATGACAGTGAAAAGGCATCCAAAGTGATTGAAATATTTGGGAAACACCACATTGCTAGGATCAAACTGTATCTCTATGTACATCTCTTTTCAGAGAACATGCTAAGCATTGATTTCACTGCTTTCCTCACAGACTTTTGAAAGCACCTAAAAAATAGAGACCTTTTGCTCAAAAACAACTATTCTGATTTTTTAGAAGGTGGTCAAGTAAGTATGCTTTGCACACATTCATCTCTCATCCATTTCTTGTCCATAATTCCACTGGAACTATACTCTCTAAGATTGACACTGGTGTTCCCATCTTCATATTTAGCAAATCATTTGTAGTATATTTTATTTGACATCGACAGTGTTGTGATTGATCACCCCCTCCTTCTTAAAAGTCTTTCTGCTTTGACTCTCCTAACGCTTGCTCCTATAATGGCAGTGTACCCTAGAGGTCCGTGCTGGCGTTTCTGATCACTGTCTGCAGAACATGCAGCACTGTCCATGACTTTCATGGGCCCACTCCTTCAAACACTCAAATATCTGGGGTCTGTCTTCATGCCTGTTCTCTCAGGACATGTCTCTTGAGCAGTTCAGATGTAGCCAGTGGCATCACTAGATGGGAGGAGTGTGAAATGGTGTGTGCCTAGACTCTCCTCTGTCATTCCCCAAGAGTGATACCAAAATGACCCCAGGGCCAGCAATGCGTGGGCCAACACCACAAGGGGAAGTGCTGCCAAGGCATGTCATCCCTGAAGTTAATGTCACCCATCACCCAGGACAGTAACTCATCACCACACACACACACACACACACATATTCGTCAGGGTACAGATAGGTGAGCTTAGGCCACTGGGCAGAGAGGAGGGTCTCATCCTGGTGGAGGGAAAAGAAGGTGGGGAGGTACGTCATGGGTGGGACAAGGAAGTACTGACTGAGAGGTATGGCTCATGGTGGGATGCTGGCCAGCCCCCAATGGAACAACACCATGCAGTTACTGCAGTAGATGGCACCAACCATGGTGATGCTACTGGGCTTCCCATTATCAGAGCTCACTCATTGCACACCTTTCTGTCTCTTTCGCACATATACACACACAGGTAGATGTACCCACATCCTATCCTTTTCTTTGTTAGTAGAACATCATCACCCAATCTAGAAGCTTCAGAATTACCTTGGACTTTTCCTTTTCCTTGATTATTTATTTTCAGTCAGTCACTAAGTCCTCTTCCTTCTGTCTCATTAATACCTCTCTATCCTGTCTACTGTTGCCTTTCTCTGCGCCTTTTGTCTCTTGCTTACTTTGTTTCAGTCGTCTCCTGAGATTAGTCTCCAGTTCTTCTATGAGACCTTGATCTTTCTGCCTGGAACAATGTTGCTTACCGATTGTACTTGTTCATTTCTCATGACCTCCCTTCTGAAATCTTTCTTAACATCCCCTCCAGGTACATAAAATACACTATGCCTTCTACCTTGCCACTGTGGAGTTTGTGTGCCACTGTAATGATTCACCTATAACCCTAAGGAATATGTGTTCTTTGAAAAAATGAGTGCACATTATTCTCTCATTCACCATCCTGCCACCTTTACTTTCCCTGCTCCCAAGCCCCAGCACCGGAAAGGTGCATACAGAACTCCCTAGCCCTTGGTATAGCCTTTTCTCCTTTTTGTTTGTCCCTTAGGTCAGTCAGTCAAAGGCCCTACTATCATCTTCTGAACCTGTGAGATCTAGTTTGCTAACTCCTCTGGAACATAATGAGGGGGGTGGCAGAAAAGAAGGATATCTGCAATTCATTAACATTTTATACCTGAACTTACTGAAGTTGAGAATACGGTTCTTAGAAGATCTGTCAGTAAACACTACAGTCCAAGGAAAACACCGCCTATGAAATAGACCGTAACAGATTTCTTGTGCCTTCCAAGAACTCTTCTTGTGAGGAGACAAACTGCCTCTACAATTGCCATTCCTTCTTCTTCATTGATAGTGTTTTCTTTTACCTTAGAGATAGATACAAAAAAGGTAGCATTTTAAACTCGAATTCTTTGCTCAGAGCTAAAATACAAAGGCTGTGTTGAGGGAAGATGTAATTGGGGAATAAGAAATATTCTTAGTTTTGATAGGAGGCTTTATGAAATTGATCTGGTTAAATCAAACACTGAAACTGTTTTTAAAACACTGTTCTAGGGAGAGATGGTTTGCATTTACACAAATAGTTGGGAAATCAGTTCAAAGATTGATGTGTACTTTTGCTGGCCGTAAAATTTGTCTTGAATCTTGACAAACAGTGTGTTTGAATGCTGTTGATCTGCTACTCTTCAGGTTAACCCACCCAGAAGTTCCATATAACAGTGGAGCCACCCCATCCACCAACAATCCAGAATTTGTGGAGGATCTCTCCCAAGGTCAGTTGCTTCCGACTGAGCCATCAAATACAGCAGACAGCAGTGAGCAGAGGCATGAAGATGAGGTAAGCTGTTCCTGACCTCAGCTTCTGAAGGAATCAGGCGGTATTCATCAGAGTGTTTATCGTCGACTCTCACATTCTTAGGTTGATACCTATAATATTTCTGATGGTTTATTTCTTATTTTCCATAGACCCCCACCACCACCACCAGAGACAGCTAAGCTTTTTCCCATGCCTGAGAAACAAACCACCTATATATAGTCAACAAATGCTTTTTGAGTGAGTGAATGACTTCATTCAATATATAATTGGTGATGCATCAGTATGCCGCACATATTCAAGGCCATACTCTGCTCACCAAGGCCACATGTGTCCAAAGGATTCACACCATTTGCCAAGTCATTTGCCCTCCCATAGGAGAAAACCTTTCTCTAATTTTTAGAAGGTTCTAGATCAACCAAGACAGCTGTCTTCTTTAGTGGCCTTCACAGTTGACTTAGTATGCTGTCTTTTTCTTTCTTCCTTTTAGCCAGGATAAAAGTAGCAAACACCCTTGAATTTTGTCTTCTTTCTTATTATAAAAGTGTTTTTTTTTAATGTCATGGCATTCTTAAAGATAATAGTAATTTTTAAATATCTTAAAATTCTTAGAGTAGCCTTAATGTTACTGAGTTTATACTAAACTAGTACCAAATGTACCATTTGTCCAGTTGTAAATTATTGTGTCATTTGTATATTTGGAGTACAGTGACATAATTAATAGTTAGATTTTACTCTTCTCTGAACTAAGAATTCTTATATCTGTAACACTTTATTAACTGAATAGGTTATGTATAGTTTATAAAGTTATGAACTAAAAATATTATGTACCAGGCATTTCATTTAGAAGGGAGGAGAAAAAATACCGTGGTAAAACATCAAAGCTTTCTACTCCAGTAGTACCTCAGTCCTTTTTTAAAAAGTCTTTAGAGAAGCAATTTAATCTTGATTCAACTCAGCAGGTTAAAACCTCTTACTGACAGGCTGTGCATATTATCGAAGACTTAGATACTGAAAGTGTTGCTGTCTGCTGTGGGAAATAAACTAGTCTTTAAATGGGTATCAGTGAGAATACCCTTCATGAATTATTGTTCTTCCCTGTGCTACAGCTCATTTCCATTTCTGCCCAACGCGTGTGGCAACATTTTGTTCTGGTCCACTGTGGCAGTATGCACTGCGCTGGCACAGTGCTGTGTGTGCTGCTGCATTCCTCGTGGAGAATGTTCTCTACCAGGAGCCAGGACCTGTGAAGTGTTTATGAAGGTCAAATCTTAGATGATCCTAGCATCCTTATCCTTATCTGTTGGGATTTAGCACAAAATGCAGCAAGCTTGTATGGAAGCTGTGGTATGGAAGCAGGTCAGCAAGTGCACAGTCTAAAGTCTGTGAGTGTAAATTACATTATCATGACTGGTTTGGAGAGCTTTGATTACCCAGTGTCTTGTATGTATAGGAAAATGCAACTCTTAACCTGTTTCATTTGTTGGTATTTGTTTTTATTGTGTTATATGGGGTCTGTTGTTGTTGTTTGGTTTTTACTTTTTACTTTTTATTTGTTTTGCAGCAAAGAAGTAAACGAGGTGGTTGGTCCAAAGGAAGAAAGAGGAAGAAACCCCTTCGAGACAGCAATGCCCCCAAGTCCCCCCTTACAGGATATGTTCGCTTCATGAACGAGCGTCGAGAGCAGCTTCGAGCAAAGAGACCAGAGGTCCCATTTCCAGAAATCACCAGGATGTTGGGCAATGAGTGGAGTAAACTGCCTCCTGAGGAAAAACAGGTAATTGCTCAAATTTTTTGTCTTTGGCTTGATCTGTTCTCTCTCAAAAAGATCACCTGTCCGAAAGCCAATAAAAAGAGGATCCATGGTGGAGTCTAGGGTTTGGCCGCAGTAGTGCCTAGGAGACCACCCTGGCAGGCCCCTCAGTGCTCTTTTCTCCAGGACTGCGGTGTTAGAATTGTTCCAGGGTCCGCTGCAGGGTTGTGCGGCACCTAAGGGACCTAAGACCCTGGACCCCTCAACCACAGCAGTTCCACTTTATCTGATTCACATGCGCTTACGTAGATTTTTTTTAATGGTCCAATATTAAGAAATTCTGCAACGTTATGCATTCCACTGAATTAAAGGGGAAATATCATGCGTTAAATGAGGAAAAAATTCCAAAGAGTCATTTGATAAGATTCTGCAATTGAAAAAAAAAAATTGGTTTAAGAAAAATATTTCACTGCTTTAATAATTCTTTCAGTTTCGTTTTGTTGCCGTAATAATTCTTGTGTAACTTAGTTCTGGCACATTTGAGCTAGCATGAAATGTAAAGCAAGAGCCACTAGAATGATTTCTCTCCTCAAAAGCAGGCATTAACCCTTTAAGGCTCTAACTGAAACAGACCTACTTGTCAGAGAGCTTTAGGGTGCAGGGGATTAATAGCAATACAGTCGGAGGGGCTGACTTCGCGTAAATGCAGTGATGGTAAAGATCATGGGGGAGATTTGGAGTTAAAGCTCCCAGCATTTGAAAGGTACCTACATTTCTTTTTTATCTTACACTGTTAAATCATCTTTAAGAAAGAATTCCAAATGTAAACCAAATTGAAAAAATTTCTCTTTTTGGAATTAGTTGAATTTAAAATTTTCAAAGATCAGATTAATTTGCAACTTGAAGCGTTATGTTTATGTTAGCAAGCTAGTAGAAAGCAGTGTATATTTTCCATTGTGTTGGCTGAACACAAGGATTATGAGCTCTAAATAGCACATCAGTTGCTTTTTGTTGCTTTTTGCTTTTTGTTGGTGGTTTTTTGACAATGTAATAGCGTATATGTAAAGACCAAAAGTTAAAGTACCAGTAGCTATCTGCAGGGATAGCGTAGCCTATAGTAGTAGTGCTGTTTGGTTCCATCAAGTCTGTTTGACCAGAGTAGACCTGCCCCATAGCGTTTTCTAGGCTGTCATCTTTACAGGAGCTGTGCACCAGGCCTTTCTCGCATGAGTTGTTGGCTGAGTAAAAACTGCCTACCTTTCCGTTAGTGCCCAGCACTGATTGTGCCCTGGAGGCTCCATGTTCAACCAAAAACTCAAATACATCTGCCAGCGAGTTGATTCCAACTCAGAGCAACCCTATAGGGCAGGGTAGACCTGCCTCTCAGGGCTCCAAGATCAACTCCGTACAGGAGTAGAAAGCCTCACTGCCTCTCCCAAAGAGCAGCTGGTGGTTTCGACCTGCTGACCTTGCAGATAGCAGCCCAGTGCATAACCACGATGCCACCAGGGCTGCAGTGTCCAGTCTAGGGTCATGTATTGCGGTTGGTAGTCAAGTGTCTAGCCTCCTTTAATCTGGAATATTCTATAGTCTGTTTTCTATAACATTGATAGTTTTAAGAACATAGTCCCTCCTTTTTTTTTTTTAATAGAAAATGCATCACTTGTATTTGTCTGTTTCCTCGTGATTAGATTGAGGACTTGAATTTGTGGTCAGAGGATGGCCCAGAAGGACAGTGGTTGTCCTGCTCAGGGTACTACATATGGAGACACACAGTGTCCCTTGGTTCCCCGTGTTGATGCGTATTTGATAAATAAGCAGTCTGTGAGGAGATGCTTAAAGAACATGCAAATAGCCCGTACTACTTCAAATTTACCCATAGATTTAGCATCTCTGGTCATGATTCTTAGCTAATCCAGCCCTTGCCATGATGGTTACGAAGTTATTTTTCTATTCCTGCGCCTCCCTTACATTCCTCAGAAGCCTTCAGCAATTCACTCAATGCAGAAAGCCCTTTCCCCCCATTTATGTATTTATTTTTCTATTTAATACTGGTATGCGCAGAAGAATTTCTATTTCTTTCTAAGGTGTATATAATTTGTTATTGTATTAACAATTTTGGTGCTCAAATTGTGTCAGTTTCAGCCATTTGGATGCCCCTTACTCTAGCTATGGGACAAGGCTTCTGACATAGGATTATTTTGTGTTCAACCAATATTTTTATAACTAATTTCTTATACTTAATGAATGAAAAGGACAGGGCATTAGACAAAATAATCCTGGTAGATCAATGAACTTTATTTAAATAATTAATAGAACAAAGCACAAAGCATGTAGATACAGGCTTTCTCAAAGTAGTCCATTTTGAGGCCATAGGATGAGATCATTCCCTTTTACATACTTTCTGTGTCTCCAGCTTTAGTGCTTTACTCTTTAGGCTCTTAAAAGGCCAATTGATACATGAGATCATTCTCTCAGAATGGTTTAGGGATAGAGAAACAAGAATATTCCATTCCTTCCCCTGGGAAGGCTAAGTATGTCTGGATGGTAGTCAGACCTCTAGAAGCCTGGTGGAGTTTCTATCTGTAGGCTTAGAGGGATAACCATAATTATCCCATGATTTTTTTATGAAAGTAAATGCCAAAAAATCAGTCTTCATTAAGATGGAAGGAAACAATAAATAGTCTAAAAAGTCAGAATCAACTCTTTGATTATATCTTACTCTGTTGGTACAATTCATGCTTTTCTACTTCTCCCTCAAAGCTATTGTCCGTGCACATTTCTCTCCATGCTCTCATTAGCCTATGTTCTTTAAATGCAAACTCACGGCGACCCTCTAGGACAGAGTAGAACTGGGTTTCCGAGGCTAAATTTACCGGAATAGAAAGCCTCATCCTTCTTCCACGGACAGTTTGGTGGTTTCACACCGCCATCCTTGCAGTTAGCAGCCCAGCACGTAACCAGCCCACTAGGGCACCAGAACTCTTTCAAACACAATGGGTCTTCAACATTTCTCTGGAAAGATTTCATTGCCATTCATTCAGTTTTCCATAAACTATTTGAAGTCCCTTCAGCGTCATTGATATTTTTATTACATACTGTTTTCTATTTCTTGAAAATCATTCTACTCCCCACTCCCCACCCCCAGCGCTATCTTGACGAAGCCGACAAAGATAAGGAGCGTTACATGAAGGAGCTGGAACAGTACCAGAAGACTGAGGCATACAAGGTCTTCAATAGGAAAACCCAGGATCGGCAGAAAGGCAAATCTCACAGACAAGGTATCAGAGCTAAATGTATTTATATTCTGTTGTGCGTAAAAGGTTAGAAAGTCAACTGTTAAGGTGGTAAAGTATTAAAAATCTGTTTCTATATTAGTGTGCATTCACTTAGAACAGTGGTTCTCAATCTTCCTAGTGCCGCGACCCTTTAATACAGTTCCTCATGTTGTGGTGACCCCCCCAACCATAAAATTGTTTTCATTGCTACTTCATAACTGTAATTTTGCTACTGTTATGAATCGGGTGACCCTTGTGAAAGGGTCATTCGACCCACAAAGGTGTCTCGACCCAAAGGTTGAGAACCGCTTCCTTAGATGCATCATCTTGGAATTCTAGTAAAATAACATTGCTCTCATCCTACAAATTTTAATTGGTTTCCATATCCATTGTCACCGATTGGGCTCTAAAACGGCATATTCATTGTCTGCTCCCATTTTTCCCAACTCCCAGTTTACGTTCTTTATTTTCTACAGGCACATGTCTACTAAACTACATAACCTTTTCCTGCCTTGTATTGCTATGTCTGTGCTTTTCTTTGACCGTTCTGTCATCTTCCAGTGATCATCCTTTTCATTCATCCTTTCACTCATTCGTGTATGCATCCATTCAAAACAATATTGATTGTACACTTCCTGTTATATAAAGATAAGCCAAAAATAATGCTACGTGAGTCAGTTCATACATAACTCATATTTATTCCAAACAGCGTGTGTAAGCATGCCTCTTCAAATGGTGGATGGCTGTAGACAAGTTCTCTCAATAACACCCTTGTCTTAGTCTCCTTGGAGTCTCTTAAAAAAAATCTAATCGAAACAGAGGCTTCCAAAGGGATCTGCTAAGCAAGTTAAGTTCAAGACTGCAGGGGCGGCCCAGGGTATGGCAACTGAGTTTGGAGGTCCCGTCAGAGTGGCACAGGGGGAGCTGAGAGACTGTGACTCCCTCTGACTTCATAAGGAGGAAGACGTCAAGCTCAACGTCAGCCCAAGACAGATAGATGGCTGTGAGGCAGAGGTCAGACATACCTCCACCCTCCAGCCTTCTTGACCACTCTCACCCCATCCGGTCCTTCCCATGGCACCGTCCACTCTGCTGAGTTCAGTCACTTGTTTCAGTGGCCACCTTGAACTCAACGGACAATACTCACAATTTATGGAGTTTCTTGGGGAAGCTCACAGGATCACACAATGCTCAAGGTACAGTCCTTCCTGTCAGGAGCACCTCTTAGCTGTGCCAGCAGGTAGACCTCTCTCTGGTCGTTGGTTTCTCAGCCATGCTGCCCTTTGACCTCTGCCCTGGTTGGGCAAGAGTTAAAATTCTCTTTGAGCCCTGCCGATAAATGCCCAAAAGACACCCTACTCTGCTTTAAACCTCACAACTGTTTCTCTCTAGCTCTGTGGACCAGCAAATCGAGCTCCCCTAATTAAGTCCCTGTTGAAACTCCTGCCTGAAGGAAAGCCTGCCAAGAAGCCCCATCCACAATTAATCTGTCAACTCCATAACCATTGCATCTTCTCCAAACTTAGCACAAAACCTGCTAAGACGATCATGCACCAGATGACTTTCAGTGTGTATTTTCTGTCCTCCATCCCAAAGTCTCCCTTTCATCAGTACAACCTGTGTCTATTTCTCCTGTGCCTAATTGTGTAATCGAGCTATGGGTTTCCCTTTAACACTTGCTGACCAACGTGGTAGTCGATAAAGAAAAATATTATGTGTTGTGAGAGTCCTAATATACCAACAGTTTTTGTAATTTGACACATGCATGTACTTGAGTTTTGCTATTATTTTCTTTTTTCTTACTTTTTTATTTAATGTTCTCTTATTCTTTCATATTTCAGATGCAGCCCGACAGGCCACTCACGATCATGAGGTAATTAGCTTGTGTGCACATATCATCTGTATATACATATACAAGGAGACTTCAAGAAGTTCATGGAAAAAGTGGAATGAAAGGAGAATGGTATTTTTCTATGAACTTTTTAAAGCCCCGTCATATAGAGATGTCATAATGCTGCTGTTTAAAATGTTGCTAGATTTTATTTCATTTTATGGATGGCATAGTATTTCCTACTTCTTAATTTGTATTAGATGAATTGCTTTAGCTCAGGAGTTCTTAGCATAGGGCAGACCCTTCTGCCATGAATTTATCTTTAAACTACAGTTCCTAACCCCAACCTTTCCTGTGGTCCAAGAATTTTGTTGACTTTAAATACCAAAGATAGCTGGAATTTGGAGTGAAGTGTAGGCGTGAGGCCTCACTAGAAGTTATAACTTTTCGTCATCTTAAAACCTTAGCCCTGGTGGTGTTGTGGTTACCCATTGGGCTGTGACCCGCGTAATAGGCACTTCAAAACCACTAGGGGCTCCTTAGGAGAAAGACTGGGCTCTCTACTCCTGTAAACAGTTAGGGTCTGTTTACTGCAGCCCACAGGGGGTCGCTGTGAATCAGCATTGACTGGATAGCAGTGAGTCTGAGCGCATTTGGATAAAATGAAATATTCAGCTGCAGGATAGATAGAGCACAAATGACAATACCTTGGTTCTCTGTACCTCTCTTCCTGTTCCCTCCCATGTGGCATGTATTTGTTTACTGGCCTCCTCTCTGTCATTTGATTAACCTCCATAGATAAGATTGAGGTCTGTGTACTTGTATGTGCCTACTGTATTACCTAAATAGCTATAAACGTAAATGTAACCTTAGGAGCCTGGTGGTACTGTGGGCAAGGTGTTCAGCTGCTAACTACAAGAGTATTGGTTCAAACCCAGCTGCCGTCCACAGGAGAAAAGATGATGTTGTTACCTTGGAAACCTTGTCGAGAGTCCATTCGAAGTGACTCAAAGGCAGTGAGATGATTAATATATGGAGGGAAGAAATACATAGTTCGTGGTTATTTAGGCTTTTAAAACTCTCAGTATCTCCCCATTGCTTACCAAATCATATTCAAACCCAGCAAGGTCTCTTCCAAAATTCTTTACCACCCATTTCTCTTCTCTGTTGTATATTTTAAAGTGGTGAGTATTCACTGCCTTCCAGCTGCCTCTACCTGCTGTGTGTGCCCATGTTATTCCCTTCATGAGGCTTCCTCTCCTGCAGCCACGTCTTCTTCCTCCCAATTCCCTGTTTCTGCATCTCAAAATGCTAATCTTCCTGCAAGCCTTATTTCCTCCTCCAAGCTTTACTACTTCCCTTTTTTTTAATCATGTTATTGGAAGCTAGTATAACTCTTATCACAATCCATCCAGCCACCCATTGTGTCAAGCACATTTGTACATTTGTTGCCCTCATCATTCTCAAAACATTTGCTTTCTACTTGAGCCCTTGGTATCAGCTCCTTTTCCCCTCTCTCTCCCCGCTGCCCCCACCCTCATGAACCCTTGATAATTTATAAATTATTATTATTTTGTCAAACCGTACACTGTCTGACGCCTGCTTCCCTTTTTTACCCCTCCCAGTTCTCAGTACTTCTTTATATGCACTTAGCTGGCCCCGCCAGCTGTTGGAGGATCTTTGAATGCTTCTATTATTCAAAATACTCCTGGGTTGGACTCTCTTCAGGGCAGGCACAATCTAGTTTGCATCTTTGTATCCAAGCTCATACCGTCTGATGTAACGCCCTTAGATGGAGAAGATAGACTTCTTAAATGGACGTATTTTTACTACTGTGCCTTTCACAGATGCATTTGCTTGCATGACAGCTTTACCTAGATTTCAGCATAAAGAGAGAAATCAGTGAGCCACATGAAAAGTAGATTCTTCCAATAAGCAAGCTGATACCACCTCATAAACTCCTTTTTTAATATAAATGAAGACAGTGGGGGGTTTTTTGTTGTTGTTGTTCTTGTTTTTACAAATTATCACATCTCCAGTATCTTTGGGTCTCTGCTTTCTCAAATATGGTTTAAGATGCTCCTGAATGATTTCTACCCTTGTCTGTTTTGGTGTTGTTTTTTTTTACTATATTGCAAGTCCCAAATCTAAATAACAGTCTGGTGCTAATTGGAAGTCTGATTATCAGCTCTGTGGTTTATCTATTTTTTTTTCCTTCTTTCCTGTTCATTTTTATACAAGAATCTGTAAGAGATTGGCTTGAAATAGCAATGGGAATTTGAAAAAGCAGAGTTTTCTGATGTATTCTTGAATTTTCTAAATAACTTGCTCAAGGGAATCCTTTCTTCAAAATAGTAACTGTTTATCTTGTGGTGGTAGTTTTCATACTTAATTTGGTGTTGGTAACCTTCCATATGAGACACAGGCTTTACTTATTGGTTCTCCACACTTAACAATTACAAAAGAGAATTTAGACCGTTACCTAAGCATTCAGTCTCTCGCTTTCCAGTCACATTAATTTCATCACATAGATTTTGCCAGCCAGATTATATGTGGCAATTTTATCTTCGGTAAAGTTGAGATAGTTACAGTTAGGAAAGACTTAGAAGATTTAGTTATTGATCAAAGCTGCTACTGTTGATTTGAGAAATGACTTTTTTTTATTAAGATACATTTTTTAGCATAATATTAACTTCTGTGTTTGTAGAAAATGAGTCTTTGTATGATTTCCCTGTTGCAGGAGTGTACATGTGTTCAAACAAACAAAATGTAAAGGGCTGGTAGAGGAAAAGCCAGAAATAGTTTGTCAAACGTGTCTGTAAATCTCTCGATTGATAGGCCTACGTCAAGGAAAATCTCTCTTAGTAAGGACCTTGACCCAATTCGTTGCCCTTACTTTACCAGTTTTTATTTTACTTGGAAACATGGCTTTCCTAAACTAGGTAATTTCAAAACAATTGCAATTGAGAGAAACTATTCTGATCATTTGTAAACATAGCTGCACAGTCATTTCCTCACATAGAACTTCTTAGTGGACTAGGAAAAACACATTGCCTTCAAGTTGATTTCAACTCCTGCCAACACTGCAAGGCAGTTTGGAACTGCCCTCTATGGTGTTTCCAAGAATGGATCTTTCCAGAAGCAGACTGCCATGAAATGACTGCTGAGTTTGAACCACCCACTTTTTTTTTTCTTCAAATCATTTTATTGGGGGCTCGTACAATTCCCATCACAATCCATACATACATCCATTGTGTCAAGCACATATGTACATTTGTTGCCATCATCATTCTCAAAACACTTGCCTTCCACCTGAGCCCTTAATATCAGCTGCTCATTTTTCCCCCTCCCTCCCCACTCCCCTCTCCCTCATGAACCCTTCATAATTCACAAATTATTATTATTTTGTCATATGTTACACTGTCTGACGACTCCCCCACCCTTTCTCTGCTGTCCATCCCCCAGGGAGGAGGCTATATGTAGATTCTTGTAGTTGGTTCTCCCTTTCTACCCCACATTCCCTCCAGGCATTGCCACTGTCACCACTGGTCCTGAAGGAGTCATCTATACTGACTACCCTGTGTTTCCAGTTGCTATCTGTACCAATGTACATCCTCTGGTCTAGCCAGATTTGTAAGGTAGAATTGGGATCATGATAGTGGGGGGGAGGAAGCATTTAAGAACTAGAAGAAAGTTATATGTTTCATCGTTGCTACCCTGCACCCTGACTGGCTCATCTCCTCCCCACAACCCTTCAGTAAAGGGGTGTCCAGTTGCCTACCGATGGGCTTTGAGTCTCTACTTCTGCACTCACCCTCATTTACAATGATTTGATTTTTTGTTCTTTGATGCTTGATACCTTATCCCTTTGACAGCTCGAGGTCACACAGGCTGGTGTGGAACCACCAACTTTTTAGCTCACAACCAAACACTTAACCACTGTGTCATCAGGACTCCTATTTTAGTGTACTAGGAATCTAGGGGGATGGGGGAGGCCTGTTGGGTTAAAGAGCAGCTCCAAGGCCCCATGGAAAAGGAAGGAACTGATCGGGCCTTGAAGGTGGCATGAGTCTTGTATGTTGAGGAAAGGAAATACCCCAGATGGGTAAAATGGCTTAAGCAGAGATATGAGTAAATTCACATATCTTACAAAGTACATGAAACATCATAGATTTAAAATATGTGGTTACTTCCCTTTGCCGACCCTGTGAGGAGTAAAGTGAGAAATGTATGGTGGAGTAGTCCAAGAGCTCATCCTGGAATACTAGGGCCACGGAGGTTCACCCAACTGATCCTCCTTTTGCCCGTGAGGAAAATTACTTGCCTAAGATGGAAAAACTTGCCTCAAACTACTCGTTGAGCTATGTAGAGGCAGAAATCGTCGTACTGAAGCCAAGCCTTCTATATCCCCGTCTAGCATTCTTGGCAGCACTTAAGATACTATATAAAGTAGGCTAAACAATGCAGACGGTTAAAATTGGCCGGGTTGTCTGAGATGTCAGCACAATTTGTTGCTCGTTAGACAGAAACTGGTGTGTGTATTGTAATGAAGTCTGTTGTATTCTGTTGTTAGACAGAAGCTGGTGTGTGTGTTGTAATGAAGCCTGAACTTGGATTCCTAAGGCACTGTTGCCAAAGCAGGTACTGGAGAGTGTAGTTTATAGCCAAAGACACACTGGCCTGAGAGCCATTTTGCCTAGCAGTGGAGCACATCAGCCTGGTATGCAATTTCATGAGCATTCCCTGAAGTAAAGGGCACTTCAGATAAGCAAATCACACACTATGAAATTCTGGCTGTAAGCCTAGATCACAGCAAAATGTGTTCCATTCAAAATGACTGCTGTTCCCCTCAATATGTAGCATGAAAACCAATGTGAAGAGTATTCTTGCTGCTCTCAAGTCAAAAGCCAGTCCACTAGACCCATGAGCCAGCTAGGGTTACTCCTAGGAACCTCATTCACGGACTAAGATAGAAACAATAATTTTGTGTCTCCTTTAATTTATGAGAAATGACAAAATGACACTTGGCCTGAACAAATTAGACCCTTTTGATGAAGAGGTAATCAAATCCTATGATTTTAATCCCTTGAGCAATCCTTGGAGCAGCTTAAGTGTATCTAAGCCCCACCCCCCCACCCCCCAGGAGGATCCTCTCCAGGCCAAGTAATGTGTTCACTAATGGGAGAGTGCTGATGGTTTTTATTACCACTCTTCCACTAAGTAGAATTTCTGAGTTGCCTTTCAGAGACTGAACAATTCTCTTTAATTGCTTTAATGTTTCTTATTTTGTGCTCTTAAGAATGTGTACCAAGCATAAGCAAATGTGGCGAAGAAAGCTGATGGTGCCCAGCTATCAAAAGGTATAGCATCTGGGGTCTTAAAGGCTTCAAGGTAAACAAGCAGCCATCTAGCTCAGAAGCAACAAAGTCCACATGGAAGAAGCACACCAGCCTGTGCGATCATGA